CCTATAATATCAAAACACTTAATTAAGCATTTATTCATGAACTTAGTGTCATCCACCCGGTCTCATCAACATGATGATTATTCATTCTGAAGAAGTTAAACTACCACAGTCGTAATCACAGTGACCTTGATCAGTCAATCATAATCCAGTTGGAAAATGTCTCATAATCGTTAGAAAGAGAATTGTGAAAGCTTGATATAACACACGATAATGATCACGCATGCGTTATAAAAATGTCTTCCAGCTCCTCCAAGGATAGCCTAACCTCAAAGATGACGGTCGATTATATCCCCTATGTCAAGGAACTTATAACTAAGTTCCTGTTGTTACGAGGAGGCTCCGCGCCGATAAATACTATGTGCTTTCTTCGACTTTAACTCCAAAACACCAGTTGTCAATGGAGTTGAAGACTGAACGATCAATTCATGGTTGTTTTCTCAAACCCAACTACTCCATATTTTTCGCGGGAGTCACCAATACTGCAGTCATCGTTTCATCGTTCACTGTTCGTTGGAAGATAGGGAAAAACTATCATTATTACTGTGATTTATTGTTATGACATCTATTCTAAGACTCTGTGTACAGTAACCTGATGGCTGGCTGTGTATTGGTGCAAGAATGAACGGTTCTCGAATCACCCATTTGTGTTCTGGTTTCTTTGCTTTAATTATTACGCATAGTTCCTGAAAGTCTTCCAAGCACAGTGTTAAGTCCAGTGTGGTTAGACCTGGACACTGACACCAGTGTTGTAAGAAGGAAGTTATAATGTTCAGCATTAAATCGGAGAATAATATGATTTTTTGTTCGTTTTCGTTCGTCTTCGTCGAACTTGTACACGATCAAACCATCGCACCTTTGAGTTGCCAACCAATGCTTACCAGTCCCAAAAACAAACGGTCAATGTCCACTTCCATTAAAACTATCCGGCAATAAAGGGTCCATCTTTTTTTCATAGCGCCGATATCCTTGAAATGAACTACCGACGCGGGAACCTGGGCCAACCTGGACCAGGCCAAAATGAAAAAGCAAGACAAAAAAGCCCGACACACACCAAGCATGCCACACCACATCAGTACGCTCTCCCCGTATGTGGGGTCTTCCTCAGTGATCGAAACTTTCCTTCCTTCTCCGTCGACAGTACCACCACTGATCTGGTCCACGGTGTCGGTTGCTTCATGTCACTCTGGCACAATCCCCTCCTCGGCGTATCCAATTGCATACATTGACCCTAACACTACTCGATTCGTTCACAAGCTTTTGGAAGACTAGAAACGACTTCAGAAGTACTTACATTAAAATTACAAGATGTTTCACAAAATGTCACAACTGTAAAATAAACCAACAATTACATTAATTGGAACTCACTCAATTATTTAACACGAACATATGTACAATCAATACATCAAATGTTGGGGATTCTACCGTGACGAGCAACCCTTGAAGGACTGTAGGACTTACAGCAGCACGCCTACATTCCTTCTCAGGTTGACGCCCTAGGTTGGAAAATCGTTGCAGAGTTCATTTACTGACCTCCTTCTATCATCTAAATCCTCAACTTGGAATGATGACATGCCCATGTCATTGTATCATGGAATGTGGATGACTAACAAACATACGACGTATCTGATCAACCAAGCGTATGCACAGAGTAATTTACACCAAAGATAATAACACTCAGATAATAATTTGAAACTCGAAATGCCTTTATTCGTGCAAGTCAATTTAACAATTACTCCCTGGTTTACACTTGGCTTATCCCTATTAACCTGACAAATATCTTTCGTCTTTTCAAACGGACCGATACTAGCGTAGTCATGGCATAAGACACGTGAGTTCATGGGCGTCCCTTTTCATCATGGATGACAACACCGACGATGACGATGTGACACAAGTTGATGAACTTAGCGGTGCATCAGAAGCTGTCGTTTTTCGAACTTTAGAAGGTTGTCTAACCGCAGGATTACCGCCACTGCTATCTTTTATGATTAGCTGCAGTTTAGCATTAACATCTGTCGATAGGTGGGCTACACGCTAATCATTTACACCGACGGTCTCACGAGTATTCCTACCTTCTGTAACCGCATCTGCCTTTAATTCTACTTCACGCTCACAGTGTACAGAACCTTTGTTTAACTCAGTAGTAGTGGGCATTCCGCTCGTCTCATCATGATCAACCAAAGACAAATGTGTACCATCATGATCATCGTCACAAGCATCTACTTTACCACCGTTTGTGTGATCGAATTCATCATTTTCGAACTCTTTAATAACAAAAGTAGACAATTTGTGTTCTTCCTCATAAATCCTTACAGGTTTTATGCCTTTACTCTGACTAGTAATACTTTGTAAGCTTGTAGAGTCAGAACTGGACTTTGCAACCGTAACTCTATTCTTCTGAACAAACTTCGGTGTCGTCTGTGACACTCTATTCAACAATGTCTTACCAGTTGCAACTACAGGCTCCTTCACTGCACCATTATCGTCACACAATTCGTAGTCAGACCTTGATGATGCTGATTTCACATTTATTTTATTACTGAACTTGGTCACTTCTTCACAGTTCGCCTTTGTATGCACTTCTTGCAAACGTGTAAGACACAACCGTGTTTGTCTCTCAACTTGTAACCTATCTGTTGTAGATGTCCCACGAAAGCTGTCACACTCATTAAGTTTGCATGGATTACCAGACACCATAAAGCTCCCTCGATATCTAATTCTCTGATACCCTTTCGTCATAAATGACTGAGTTTTGCACTCAGACTTCTCTATTCTACGGGTGGGATGCAGTGTAATAGCAAACTTGCTGAAACCTTGGTTGGTACTGTCTTTCACCAGGCACACAATATCATCCAACCTGGGTTCTAAACCTTCCTCTTCTAGACGGGAGCTGACCTTTATGAACTTTCTTTGCAGATGAACTGGTAGCCTCTTGACAACAGTCTCAAGTACGGAAGTTGAATTCAATTCGTCTATGCAATTAAGAGACACAAGGGTGTTTCTCTATACCATTAAACTGTCCAAGAACTCTGCAAGTTCCTCTGGATTATCGTCTAACTGTGATCCATTACCTTTCACTGTCTCAAAAATACTACGGGATATCATAAATGGTTTTCCAAACCTTTGACGTAGTATCCTCATAGCCTCTGTATATCCTTCGTTCGGGGACATAAACTAGCACCACTGTATGGCTCTTGCAACAACACCAGTGCAGTATCTCAACAAATACATTAACTTCATTTCGTCATTTAAAATAAAACCACTCAGCATGACCTCAAACTCTTTGATTAACTGTGGGTAGTCGGTCGGGTTTCCATCAAAGTACCGAGGCTCAAACTTGGGGAGTCTTAAAGTACTACTATCCCTTAACGGCGAAGCGTGAACATCAGACTCATCATGCTGAACATCATGAATATCATTACAATTAACAGGTAACTCATCGTTACTTTTTCGCCTACTTCTTTGGTGCCACGTGCCTTCCTTGACCAGAGCATTATCCATCGTCACCAAAGGATCCAAATTGTGTTGATAATCCGTGTCCAAAGAGAAGCTGGCCTCAAATCCAGTAAATACACCAGGATGAGTTCCAAAAGGCGCTCCGGAAAACGAACAGATGGATAAAACTGCCCCAGAAGGCTCTCCAGAAAGCGAATAAAATTTGTCAAGTAAATTATGCCTAAGTTCCTCTTGTTACAAAGACGCTCCAAACCGATAAATACTATGTACTTTCTTCGACTTTAACTCCAAAACACCAGTATTGTAAGAAGGAAGTTATAATGTTCAGCATTAAATCGGAGAATAATACGATTTTTTGTTCGTTTTCGTCGAACTTGTACACGATCAAACCATTTGTGCCTTCGAGTTGCCCACCAATGCCTACCAGTTCCGAGAAGAAACGTTTAGTGTGCACTCCTATTCACACCCTTTGTTCGTCTTTACGTGCACTCGACTCTGGTATAACCAAGCACTGGGTAATGGTAATTTATACGGTAGCGCTAATGATGAGTACCTTTAATATGGAAACTTGAACTATAGTCATAAATTCCAAGCACGTATACTTCAGTAGCCCTTGTGACTACTCTGTTATTATTATCCCACCAGACTTCCAAATAAATACGTTTCTACATTCTCGACACCACTACACTGTAGAAGCGATGTTTTTTCTGTTCTTGCTGCTGTCCTGCAGCCCTTTTCAGAATCCAACCGTAATTGAGCAGTAGGATATACAGCGCGTCAGTGGTCCGGCGGTAGATTACTGGTCAACCATGCACGTGTCCCAGGTTTCGGGTCCATCCCGGCGCATATCTTTACTTATCTTGACCAATTATAATCTCGACAAAGATAGAAGGTTAGGCGTAGAGCTAGCAACCCCACCAAGTGAAAAATACCAGTACTACTGAAACTATGACGGTAAAGCTTAAACCCTGTGTTCCACCGGGAACGCGAGGGAATAAAACAGGATACCCAGCAAAGTTCAGATTGGCGGAAGAAAGTACCTAGGTAACAAACGAAACACTGTGCCCATCTTCAGCCTACAGCGTGGATTGCATCCATAGCAATATGTTTCTATATCCAGACTTTCAAATTCTGCCTACACACATATATTTATGACTAATAAATACGTTGAGACAGTACTCAAATACGCGGCCTTTATGGAACTAAATCCACAGAAGGCGGACAGGGTTTCATTTGTTATGACCTTCCGTAGCATTCCCTAAATTTGGTTGATCCTTGAAGGTCAACCTTTGACATATTGACTGTTTAACTTTGCCAGCGTTCCGAGGCTGTTGGTGCTTTCTTGCCTTTTCGGTGCTCCGAAAGCCTACAATATAAGTACTGGGCTATTGCGACGGATTAAAACACTACTGGGAAGTGGGAATGGGACCAAAAATCCAAGTGATGTTTAAAATCGCCGCAAGTGTAGTGTCAAACTAACCAATCACAAGCAAAACTCAGTTGCTTACCGCACGGGCGGGCATGTGAATCAACGTCTATCCTGCCGCATGGCACCAAGGTCAGTTAACTCTTCTGCCCAAATTTCACCAGACATACTGCGTTTGCTTCAGAAATCAGAGTTAGGACTTGAAGAATTGAAACAAATTCATAAATATGCGAAAGCTAACCCTCAGCACCTCATAAATCAAACTAGTCGTTTGGAATTATTGATTACCAAAATTATTAACCCTACGGAATGTAATTGCTCGGCCAAAACAGCTACACATTTTGATTTGTCATGCAAAAATCTGGAAATAGAGGAAAAAATTCAACTGGCAGCAGAGTGCTTTTCAATGTTGCCTTTCTTGAAAAGTTCACCACAACGTCTTCAAGAGTACCAATTACGTCTAGCTAGATGTCTTAGCGAAACCTTATGTTGTCTACTAGACATCAACCGCTTATCACATGCAACTTTATCAACAGTTCAAGCGTATTTAAGTTCCAAAGTTGACTACTTTTCTTGCATAACTCCAGTTGATAAGGTGAAGAAATTGTCGGAGGACTTCTCAAACTTCCTGTATTTACGTGCTGAGTTTTTCACATATTCCCTACGCTGCATCTTTCTGCGTGACTCGGCAACGTATATTGACATTTGTTTACCCGTTTTTATGTCATTATTCAATGGTTTCTTCGAAGTAAAACTAACAGAAAATGAATCTGTATCAGATCGTTTGTTAACAACTTCTAGTCGTCTAATGCTGTGTTTAAGTACTATATGCCAGACTGTAGGCACGCTAATTATGCCTGCTGTCCCTTGTTTGCTGACTTTTCTTACATATCACTTGGAGTGGACTACTAATTGGCGACTCGATTTCAAGCGCATGGGATATATTGTACGTCTTCGTTTAGGTAGTATTTCGTGCTTGATAAATCTTGCTACTAAAAACTTGAAGCTTTCGTATTCATATTTCACTGAATTAATGCCACGCATTATTTCGCAACTGGTTCATGATCTGCGTTGGCAACTGTGTATAAATCAGGTTAAATATTCAATTAAGCCTGTTAGTCCAGCACGACAAAATGACGCCTTCAAACCCCCAGCACTTACTGTGGGATCATTCGAAAAACGTATCACAATCGCAGTTCTAACTCTAGTGGACTGTATTTTCAAGGACCCAGAAATGCTACATTATATAACACTTTCAGAATCAAAATCAGATCGTATGATTGGCACTAAAAATCCCCTTAGTCGTACAACTGATAGTGAAGTGAATCGACTTCTGTTAATTATTGGCCATTTAACTTCACAAGTCGATGCTGTGTTAAAACGTGGAATGCCTTTCGTTCAGAACAAAGTAACAAATATGGTTTTAATAAGTCCACCAGTGCTAAGTGCACTCGCAAAGGTCTCTTTTGTATGTGCTATGTCAATCCCTAACCAAACGTTCCTACTGACTGTTTTGAAATTTCTTAATAATCTTACGAGACATTCTGACAACACATTAAGTTTGACTGCAATGGGATATTTCCATCAACTATCCGGTTTAAAACTCTGCAAATCATTGCGTCATACAAATTCAGAACCTACTATGGATGATTATGAACATGCCCAAATCGCACATCAACCTCGGCTTGTTATGCAAAACGAATGTAAGTATTTCGTAACTAAACATGGTTCAGAAATGCATTCTAACGGTAACAAGAGTCCGAACTTCAAACAACAGAAAGAAGAGCCACCTGTCAAACTTCCTCGAATTACAAAAAAGCAAGGACCTACAGAAATCGAGCCAAAATCTTCAAGTGACGAATCGAAATCTGAAGTTTCATCATCTGAGCAGAAAGGTGAGCCGCCTGTTAAACGCCTTCGAATAACAGAACATCAAGAACCCATACAAATCGACGGGAAATCTTTAAGTGGCGATTCGAAATCCAAAATTCCATCGTTTGAGCATCAAACAATTGACCCCCAGTCACCAGGTAAGAGCGATGCATCCTGCATACCAAAGGATGTTCATACTTTTTTGACTGCTTTCGATCCAACTTTTGTATGATAGTTAAATTTACTTTTTTATGAATGAAATTTATAATACTTGAAAACGTATTCACATATCTGTCGTTTTTCTTGGTCGGTTTGTGCATAGTAATGTGTTATGATTAAGTGGAGTTAAAAAGACATCATAAAATCATTTTGTGAATTATTTACTGATATTGGGCAATTTATTTTTATTTTTTTCATAATTTTTCTAGTAAGCAAAGCTAATACTCACTTCCCTTAACACTTTTATTACAGAGATTTTTTTCCGGCAATCAATACTTGTTTAATTCTTGGTTGAATCTAAGTAAACATCATAGTAACTACTAAGCACGGAAATTACTCCGTGATTAAATCTGAAAAAGCCAGTTCATTCGATTTAACCGGAGAGATAAAACAGACTTAGAGAAAACCGGGATTTCATTCGAGAAATTTGACATTAAAAGTTCCCCGTCTGTTACTCCGGGATGGAGAAGATATCTCTGAAGTCTCTAATCACCATTTTGACATTTTGAGAAGGTTCTATTTATTAGTATGCAGTAGCCCAGGTTGGAAAACACTAACTTGATCCTAATGCTAACAAAGAATTAGGTTCTTTCGTGTCTTGGATTACTTCTGTGAGTTCCGACAGCTTTCAGTAAGTTCCTGAGAATGATAAGCTAAAGAATTAAGTTGAGTTTGACTTGTTGAAGGTGAATGAAGTTTATCTGCAAGCTGAAAGTTAAGCTGTATTCTTCAGAAGATGCACTATTTTATGTCGATAGAGTACTTTCGGTTAGTAAATTAAGAGTTAATTGTGTCATACACATATGGTTCACTTTGAGCAACTTTAGTACTATTAAAGCTGGAACATCACAAACAATTTGTGGAAACTTCAAAATTGCTGTTAGTTCTAGATTGTGTGAATGTAGTGTTGTAACACAGAACTTATCCAACTCAATTTCATTAGTTAATTTTTCGATTGCCTTTCTTTCGAAAGAAACTAAATATTCTTCACAATAACAACACCATGACAACTATTTCAATACTGCTACTTTTTGGCCCTAGGCTGAAATGACTTTTTGATATAGTTCAAGCTACTACAAATGGGGCGATGATTGCTTTCCAACATGTGGAAACGTAACGGAATGAAGCTATTATATTTGGTGGAGATATTGGTAGGAATCACGATCGGCTGCTTGCATTACATACATGATCTAAAGTAAAAAGTAGCCATTAAACCCTACAAATCCGTATTTCAAATGAAGGAATTTATCACATATAATTTACTATTACCGGTGAACGTCGTAGGCCCGTCGGTGTGCTTTTAAGTTCTAAAGTTCCTGTAATAAATAATCAAACGGTTTAGCCCGAATATGATTTGTCCAAAATACTCCTTCGAACTCATTTGCAATTTTGTAATGATTCCTGAATTAATGTTCAACTTAGTGATTCGGTCAATGCGGACATCATGAACAGGTCACATATGAACTACTGGACAAAATTCTTTAAAAGATCAACACTGAAACCGTCGGTGTATATATATATATATATATATATATATATATATATATATATATATATATATATATATATATATATAAGAATTTACCGTAGACCTTGACAGCTGAGCATTACTGTTTCTAAAGTCCAAGTAGAACTATGACAAATTATACTGCAGCTGTGTTAAAAGTGTGGGGTATGGCTCCAAATTCCTGTGACCTATGATGTCAAACACCAACAAATAGGCTTATGTATGCATGTTAAATTTAAAGGTAGTAGTAGTAACTGTTCATTGCTAATCCAATCATTCGTACTTATTTAGGAGAACGAATAAATATTTCAGTGAAATATTGAAGATGTTAAGGAGAGTTGGTATGAAATAACTAGTAGGCGATTTGGTGGAACTTATTGTTTTATTATTATTTATTTGGTTTCCCAGTGGAACATAGGCTTCAGCAGCACATCTCCATCTCATCCTGTTCCCTGCAGTCCTTCTCCATGATTTTCCATGAGCTGTCATCTCTTCCATGTCATCTTCGGACGACCAACTCGTTTGCCATTCAGCTTCCGGTCTAGGGCGTAGTGTCACTCAGTGGTCTTCTCAGAGTGGCTGATCAATCCCCATTTGCATATTTGTTAGGCTATAACCTCTTGGTTAGTTCGTTCCCAGAGTTCCCTGTCGCTAATCTATTTCGGACAGCTGATCTTCAGTACAGTACAAAGACAGCTGTTGATAAAAGCCTGCAGTGTGTTGGAAGTGTTCTTCATGAAATACCAATTTTCTGAACCATATAGAAGCAGTGACTTCACGTTAGTGCTAAATGTTTGAATCTTGTTTTATTTAGTGCAGGAAATTTCCATACTGGTTTCAGATTAACGAAGGTTCGTCTTGTCTTTCTGATTCTGCCTTTGACATACTCATCTGTGCCAACTGAGGTTAAAACGACGCCACCCAAGTAGGTGAAAGAAGTGACCTCGTTATTGTTAGTTCGTTAACTTCATCACCTCCATCTTCTCTATGTTCATTTAAAGTCCTAACTTCGCTCCCAATCTCTTCTGCCAGCTTGTTGGTTTTCGTCTGTGACACTAGACATAAATCGTCTTCAACGTCCAGATCTTCTAGAGTCTTCTTATCGGTGGTCCAACGTATTCCTGTCCCCTCGCTCCCTATGACTTGTCTTATGATCCTGTCCGCGACAATCAGGAATGTCATCAGTGATAGTAAGCAACCTTGTATCACGCCTGTCTTCACTTCAAACCGTTTTTCGTTGTGTATCAGTTGGCCTGTAGTATTGTCATATCGCTGTTGAATCAGGCTGAGGAGGTTTGGGGTACTCCGTTGTGTTGTAGTAGTTTCGTAATCTCCTCGTGGTGAGCGCTGTCAAAGGCCTTTTCAGAGTCGATGAAGTTGAAGTAAAGATTTAGCTGGCATTCTATACTCCGTTCAATGATGATGGGTAGCGTTGCAATTCGACCCGCACACGATTAACCTTTCTTTAATCCAGCCTTTTCCGGATGGAGCTTTGTATCCAGAGTATCTTCCAGTCTCTCCACGATTATATGACTGAATAATTTCCTCGTTGTGGACAGGAGCTTGATTCCCAGTTTCTGCAAGGGCTTAGGCCACTTTTAGCTAGTTTGATAAGGTAGCATTCATTTCAAATTTTTGGCAATAGAAGCGTGAGGATATGCGCTGAGGTCTCTGGATCAGTTTTCAGTGTTTTCGGAGGAATGCCGTCTGGTCCTGCTGCCTTCCAGTAGCTTTATGGGACCAAAAACTACTTTTGTTGGAGAATTAGCGTTTACTGGCAGTACTGTGTGGTGTTGTTTCTGGACGAGGTGTAAGTAGTGGTGGGTTCAGAAGTACTTTGAAGTGATCAGACAATTGTTCCACCTCTTTGGTAATTACGTTCCTTCTCACTATCCCTCACTGCCTTCATCTGTGTAAACCTCTTCCCAGATAGCTACCTGGTTATCCCTTGTAGTGATTGTCACGAAGGTGACTGAGTCTTAGAACGATGAGTGATGCTTGAATCTTGAAAGGACGAACGAACCAAGAATTTAGGCTTTATTCATTTTACAATGAAGCCGGAATGGCTTAAACGTATAAAGGGGAAAAAGAGTGTTAATAGCGGTAGAGATATGAATATGACTAGATACGTATTATAAGAAAAGTTCACAACATTCACTGCGGCTTGAAAAGGAATGAGCCATTATGTCACGCTTCTCTGGTACGCAAATTGTAAGGCCGTACACGTTGTTTTTCCAAAAGAATACGCCCGTTGTTCGTTTCAGTTGTATTTTCTTCACGAAGAATATTAGGATCAGTGGTCGCATCCCCATTTACTTGTTGCTCAGGAATTGCGTCGCCCTCCGGTATTGAATTTTCAACTTGATCTATATCTTCGCCTTTGGGTGCCAGATGATGAAGAGCAACTGTATCTTCACGTCCATTACCGAAGCGAACGTGAGCGAATTGCGGGTTACAATTCAATAGCTCCACCTCTTCAACCAGAGGATCGAATTTGGACTGACGAACACTCCGCCGGAGAAGTACTGGTCCTGGTACAGTGAGCCAAGTAGGAAGAGTTGTCCCAGATGTCGATCTTCGGTTATAGGTAAACAGTCGTTCGTGTGGCGTGGCGTTCGTTGCAGTACAGAGCAAAGATCTGATGGAATGCAAGGCGTCGAGTAGAACAGACTCCCATTGTGCCGTTGGTAGGCCCCGTGATCTTAATGCTAGAGTGATGGCACGCCAAAGTGTTCCATTGAGGCGCTCGACCTGCCCATTGGCTTGAGGATTGTATGAGGTAGTACGACTGGTTGCTACGCCTTTCTCCAGAAGAAATGCCCGTAATTCGGTAGACATGAAAGCAGCGCCTCTGTCGGTATGTATGTAAGAAGGCATACCGAAAATCGAAAACAGTTGGCAAAGGCAATTCATTACCGTTTGAGACGACATGTCGGGGCAGGCGAATGCAAAGGGGAATCGAGAATATTCATCGATCAGCGTGAGCAGATAGTGATTGCGGCTAGCTGACGGTAGAGGTCCTTTAAAGTCGATGCTTAACCTTTCAAAAGGTTGGGTTGCTTTTATGAGTTTGAAATTAGAGGGATTGTAAAATTGAGGCTTTAACTCACAGCATGTCACGCATTTACTGGTTACATTGCGCACCTCGTCAAGGGAGAATGGAAGGTTTCTCGAGCGTACAAAATGCATCATTCGGACAACTCCAGGATGGCACATAGAGTCATGGAGAAATTTCAAGTCGCACACTGACTGCAAGGAACCGCAGAAACTACGGGAAAATGTATCAGCAGCTTGATTATCCCTTCCAGGACGATAAATGATGTCATATTGATAAGGGGATAGCTCAATTCTCCAACGCATTATTTTATCGTTCTTGATTTTGCCTTTATGAATCTTGTCAAACATGAATGCTACTGAACGTTGATCAGTGACAAGTTTGAAGTGATTTCCGAGAAGGTAATGCTTCCACTTACGAATTGCTTCAACCACGGCATAGGCTTCTTTCT